AAAGGAGCCCGCAGGCGCACAGAAGCTAAAGTGGGAGGAATGGCAAGGCCTCATGCAAATCTCAGACAAGCAAGCTGTGGATGTTGAGAGGTTCTGAGAACCATACACACAGCGCAAGAGCTGTGCTTTGGGCTCAACGGGGGGGGGGGGGGCGTTTAAACCCCACCAACTCGCGACCTTCTCAACTTGGAGACTCCGGTGTGTCGACTGGATGTTCTCAGAGATCCGCTCGGAATCGCTGCAGGTGACCTCCAGAAAAACGACCTCGAGACTTGGAGGAGCTTCCTTGTAGCCCCTGATTTGACCAAGAGCAAAGTCACAACTCACTACTGAGACCTTAGACTGGCCCTGCTAAACCCTACGGTATGTACCTATAAAGGCACCCTCATAGAAGCCTTGAGTCGAGAAGCCTTCGCACCAAGATCCTGAAGGCGCTGGAAGAGCCACCGGCGTCTCTCCTTCTTTCCAGGGCGCGGGGGAAAGGTGCCTAAGAGAGTGTCGAGGTAGCGGCTCTGCGAAGCTTGGAGTTGTGTAGCAGGGCGTTTCCGTTACGGCAAAAGCAAGACTTAGTGTAAGCTTTCTGAGTGGGGCTGTGCGCGCAAATACAAAACGTGACCCCCAGGGGCACCTTTGTAGCGTTTGTGGCATCATAGATGGCCACTGCACCAAACTCTCCGGAGATGTAGCTGCTGCCTCTGCAGATCACTGAGATCACAACACTCAAGGGCGGCTAACGGTGTCCCACAAGAGCAGGGGTTTGAAGTGCCATCTTCGGGGCCATCTGCTGCACCGTAGCTTCCACGGCGATTTGTTGTGATTTGTTGAAATGCTGAGGTCCCCACACTTGTCCTCGACGAGGTCGTTCCTGCACAACAACGCAGATGCTCAAAAGCACTCAACAGCTCAAAACATCGCGGAGACTTGAACGAATGAGCGCAGCTGCAAGTTGTTTCTGTCACAGTATGAAGAGTGGAGAGCGCTAGCAGCACAGTCCAACCGGTGCAGCGGAGCTGCGAGGACAGCTTTCTTCTCTTCGGGCTGTTCGCGGTCATCCATTCGCTCAAGTCGGCCACGGCATTCTCGGAAGCCTGGCGGCCTGGAGGCATTCATCGAAGTCCTACAAAAAACAGAATAACTGCCGGATAGCCTACTGTAAACTTTGGAGTGACTTGCCGATGACCCACTCGCACCAAGCCTTTGGGAAGTCGCACCGATTGTCTGCTTTGACAGAAGGAAGTTCAGTGTACTGCTTTCATGTGGTTGCATACATGGCATCCTCATCCAGAACGCTGCAAAGGCAAACCCCCATACCTTCGGACCGCTCAGAATGTTGGAGCCTTTTTGCAGATGTTTTAGGTTTGTGACTTCATGGATTTAGGGCTTCTTTATTGTTGCTGCCGCGGATCGTAGCAGACGAGCTTCTTTATTGGATTCGTCGAAAAAGGCGGCCGGCTGAAACTTGCCGTTCACGAGCCTTCCAAGCAAGCAGACGAACAGCGCACTTGCAAATGCATCCTAGACATTAAGTACCAGTAGCGCACCATGCTCAGGGTGACATTCCAAGAAGGCGTGCTCGTCTTCCCTCCATGCTTGTGCCATGAATTAAGTGGTGCGTCAGGTACAAGTACAAGCACGCCAAGCCCTGAAAGGCAGCAGCCCCAACTCATGCGTAACCCTCTAACAGCATCATACAGCAGCTCCAATGGCTTCAATAGCCATGACATTTTTAGCTGGTCTGCATGGTGTTGAGCCTTTACCGCCTGCAGGGGGAAATCACATGACACAAGCTTACCGCTGCCCCTGTTAGCAGCGGTACTGCCGAAAAGCCAAGACAAACCGATCCCCATGGCTCTCCCTACACCACCTCCCTCGAGTGGCCAAGCAGCTCATTGAGCTGAAGTTCTGGGGGAATGCATCTTTTAGCAAAATCTGCGGAAAATGTCAGTTGCGCCGCCTCATTTGCGCATACTTCATTGTGCCCTCGAAAGTGAAGTATATTTGGCTGGAACATGGAGGGTGTGTTCTTGGCTCTTGAATTTAATTGAGAAAAGAGAAAGCCGGATTGGGTTGCCATTAGTTACATTAGTTTTGTCCGATTGTCTTTTTATTGTTAGTTCGTAGTTTAAAAACCCAAATTAAAGTTGCGATGGTAAGGATGCCTTCTGAGCAACAACAAATTGCATGGGGAGTCAAAGGCGTCCCACGTTTCTCTTTTGTTTGCTTGCTTCGCATGGATTACTGTGGCTGACCAACGTTTACCCAACCAATCCTGCACATCACAAGCAAGCCCATGGCCCACAGCGTCTCCTGAGCAGGTACTCTCCGACGTTGAAGACTTTACAGGGACTGCCATAGAAGAAACCTGCAGTTCGGCGGGCGTCGCAAAGCACACCACAACATGGAACTTAACAAAGGTAGACAGTACCGCGAGAGCCCGAAAACTCAAACCTGGAGCACCTCAAATACCAGGAAATATCACGTCAAGCCTCCGCCCATTCTCCCCCAGATTCAAGCAACGGGACTGAGCCCTACACTATAAATCTTTTTTGCTGCTAAGTGGCTGATGTACCTTGGAGCACTGAGAAAGGGTGACTTGGTCTCGCGTTTAGGGCTTCCGGCTTGCTGCGTTTCAAAATCCGGGTCTTGCAGGGGAAGGAAGCCGTACCGGCCCCAGCACCTCGAGAGAGTCACAAGAAGCCAATGTGGCCTGGCCACTTGTTCTGGCATTCACCTTCTTCTCACGCTTAATGGCGTCGTGGGATGTACTGGTGCTGCAAGTCTTGCGAGTCTGGTACCCGGACAGCTCTGGCAACTCCTGACTCTTGCCTTGAACCTACCCAACCTTACCCAACGGCACCCTGAAGCCAAAATCCTGCACACCCGAGCCCGCAGACCCTCGCAGAAACTAGCAGCAACTGGCAAAAACAAGAATTACGCCGGAGGTGCTGACAGAGTTTATTGGCGATAAAGGTCTTTCCCCTGGCCGGCAGACCGACCATGCAGCAAACCAGGTTATCCGAACCTGGGGCCCGCTGCAACAAAATCGGGGGCTCTCTCTTGGATGATCTCTGAGAGGGTGGAGCCGGTTCTTCCGTGCTTGTGGGCGAAGGCTGAGCTGGTTGAGGCCTAGGACCACCCCTACGCCTACGCGTCTTGGGCTACGAAACCGTTGCGTTTGGTGGAGAAATGGGAATTTGCCACATCCACTTCGTGGGGGTGAGCACTCTTCCGGGGCAAGCTCCAAAGCACCCAAAGCTCCACAGCACCCAAAGCTCGACACGCCTAGCAATCGTTTTCGGGTTGTCAAGATGCAGCTGAGCAGCGCGTGGCAAGAGACCTTGGGTTACAGCCAAGGAAAAGGGAGATGAGGGAGGTGTCTGAGATCCCTCAAACCGGCTACTGCATACGGCTAAGAAGGGGCTGCGAAAGCAGAACCCTGACGGGTTCCGAAGTATCCTACACCAATCTTAACCGCAGCAAAGCCTCGCAGGCGGGCCCCAGACCTGCTTCAAAGGTCGCCGATGAGAGGTAAGGAGAGATGAGGACAAACTGAAAAAAAGGAAACCCTAGCACACTGCACTATGGTAAGTACCCTGCCACTCTCGCGAAGGTTCGCTTGGAAGTCTTACACAGGCAGGCTCCAGCATGCAGTCATTCATCCTCCTGAGCCCTTCCTACACTTCCAACGGCATGCAAGCGATTCATTGACCCATCATAGGACAGAAGACCCCTCCTGAGGATAGGGGTTGTCAACGCACACTGCAGATGGCTTCATCACCGGACATGGCCCGGCCGCCCTGCCACAGTCAAGATTTGGGCTCACAGGGCTTGGGGTGCACTTGCGGATTGAGCCTAAATCCTAACTGTCCTAACTTGAAGCTCACACAACCGTACTGACCCCAAGGGATGCCCGGGCCGACTTGCAGGGGCTTGGGAAGCCAAGGAATTTCCCATCAAGACAAAGCAAATCGTAGTTGTCTGCTTCTGCAAAAGAACTTGCCATGATGGTTGCAAGTCGCCTCAAGCCTTGCGGTTTCTACAACGTCCGCTTCACATTGGATGCCGCTACAGGCCCTCCACCCAAATCCAGCCTGGCATTGCCGCCGTCGCCCTCGCTCATCCTTGCTAAGAAAAGCAGTTGGGCAAGCTAAACCCCCTAAACCCCATTGAGCCGCCCGTGGCGCCTGGAAAACAGATACAACAAAAACACCTAAACAAGTCACAACAACAAGCTCCTTGCCCTTAGAGCCGCTACTCCGAGCACATGCGCGGTCAAGGTCAACCTGTGTTTGGAAGAGTTATGACGCACGGGCCGCGCAAGGTCCGCACGAGGTCCGGGATGGTTGACTGTAGGACTCTGAAGCCAACGCGTGACCATCCTGAGCCCCTGAAGATCCCTGAAGCCCTCAGCTTACAAGGCCCGGGCAACTTGGCGCGGTTCCTCTTCAGAGCTCAACCAGCAGCCGGGGGCATACCTTCACAAGCCTTAAGGCTTGAGGCCAGGAAGCCTTAAAACTTCAACCCTGATCCCTAAAAAGGGCTTGGGGGCTTTGGGGGGTTTAGGATTCCACCTCAGGCAGGGTTCCGGTTTGGGATTTGGGGATGAAACCCGAAACCCTCAAACCCGGCTTCGGGTTTTTGTGAGGGTGAGGGACTTCGGGTTCCCCGCAGCTGAAACCGCCACTCACCCCCACCCTAAAATGCACATAATTCTTCAACTACAATGCCATAATGGGAAGCCTCAATCATTCTTGGGTGGAGAACCTCAACATTCGAAGCAGGGGTCTCTAAACCCTCACACCCCGAGCAGCTGCCTGCGCCAGCGCAGGCCGCCCCACCAGCAAAGGCTGCCACACGCAGGGAGCCAAACGCCAGCGGTTTTGCAAGACTGGACCCTCCTTGTGAAAGCCCATGAATCCCTAAACCCAACACGTCAAACTCCAAGTTTCTGAAGGAATGCCAGTGAACCTGAGCCCATAGCCCAAAGCTAAGGGAGCCGCGCTGGAGGACCCGCCTGCACTGCTCGAGAGGTCTGCGCTTAGGGTGCAGAGTCGACGGCCGGCGCATGTTGGCAGAATTCTGCAGGGTTGCTAGAGCTTGTGGCCTAGTCAGGGCTCTTGGTGGTTTACTATCTCGGGCAGTTAAAACTTTAAGACTTCAGGATGCAAGAGGGTGAGGTTGGGAAGAGCTAGCAACTTCAACAGTTCAACGACTGCAAGAGCGCAGATGGCTTGAAGGGCTTAGGACTTGGTAGCGTGTTCACAGTTAGGGATACATTGCATGGAGGCCTTGTCTTGGAGCACACCTAGCAAGATGGTGGAGAAAAGTTCAGGGCTTTCGGATGCTTTTGGGTCTTGGGTGCCGGATTTCAGCAGCCTCGAGGAGTACCTGCATGGCTCTGCATGGCAGCGTTGAGGGGCTGCTCAGTCGAGTGCAGATCTGGCGACGAGGCTGAGGCTCACAGGTTCAGGCCTACATTCCACAGCGCTTTGCAGAGACCACAGGCCTACTGGATACGAAGTTATACGCAACAGCTTCAACACCACAGCACTGGAATATACTGGAATGCAAGGCGGGCGTAGGTCCACACAGGCCCGTTGTCCTGGCGGAGCGCGGTGAACGCTGGCTTTGGCACCAGCGCTTGAAGGCTAGGACCGGCTAGGACCAGGATATGGGCAGAGATGACCTCAAGCAAACCGCTAAGGCTCGATGCCAAGTCCGAGCCGGACTGGCGTCCTGTGCTAGAGTCTCTAGAGCTCCGGAGGATATCAAATTGTGCCCGTTTACTTAATCCCAAATCCTTCCGATGCCTCGTCCGGCGGCCGGACACAAACCTGTGAAAGGATTCAAAGCCCTCGAGAACTGGTGGTGGGAGTATCACGAACTGCCAAGTTCTTGTTCCTTCCTGCGCTATGCCGTAGCACATCATGACATCATCGAGGCGATTGAACACAAGCTCAGCTGCCACTGTTCGCTCTTATTCCTGCTGCTGGTGCCGTTGCCGAGCCGCTGTTTGATGTCACTGCCACTTCACTGTTGGTGCTGCTATCATCTGATTCTATCACCAGGCTGAAGGTAGCACACAGCATATCATTCATGATGACATATGCACTCAGAATCGTATCTGTCCACTCTGTAGCCTGCCGCAGCCTACCGCACACACATTGAAGTCGGAGCCAGACTGCCCAAATGCCTCGGCCTGAAACCCGGAAGCATCTGCAGCCGGTTGAACCCGATCAAACACTACCAAACCATACTAGGCCCTACTACGACCCACCATCCCTAAAGCCTCCAGCCGCAGCTCCGGAAGTGTGAGCCTGAGCTATTCACGGTCCCCACAAGTTTTTGGTTGTTGTATAGGGCGTAGGGTTTGGGTGCAGGGGCGATATATGGAGCAGAGGTTTCGGTGAACACGCTGCAGTGACGGTACTTGGTGCTTCAGGTTCAGCGGGCTTTCTTCTGAGCTTTAGGGTTTATGTCAGAGCCAAAGACCATCAAGGGTTTAAGTTGTAAGGCTTGGGAATCGCTATGACCGACTTCCCCTGCAGGCCCTTCCACTCCGGAACCTCAAGGCCAAGATCCCATGAATCCTAAGCCCTCAGGCCCCTCCAAACCAAGCTAAGCCATGAACCTGCTAAGTGGTCCTCCTGGGCCTTATCCAGCTGGGGCACAGTGGCTTGAGCGGCCCACCCGGGCTCCAGAAGCTCGTGAGAAGCCTGAGAACCAAAAGCTTGCCACAAGTTTTCAGGATCGTTCAAGAGGAATCGTGGGGATGTTGTGGGGCTGTCCCGAGATCGACGCATCGGTTGCAAAGCTCGGTTGTTTCCTTCTAGGCTGTGCGAAGTCCTCAAAAGTCTTGAGGGCACGAGCGAAAGCGCGAGAGCGTGAGAGCGCGAGAGAGAGCGCGAGAGAGAGCGCGAGAGAGAGCGCGAGAGAGAGCGCGAGAGAGCGAGCGAGAGCGGGACAGCGAGGGCGACAGGGCGAGAAGGCGAGAGAGAGCGGGACAGACAGCGCAGCAATCCCGAAGAGAGCTGGACACATGCATATGGACAAACAGGATACCACGTATGGGCCTCAAAAATCAATTTGGCATCTACCAAGCTAGAAAGTTTGGCTTTACCAGGTCTTCACCAGTGTGGAATGTCGAGCTTCCGCTTAGGATGGCGAGGGGCAAGGTTCCGCCGTCACGCAGTGCTTGCACAGCCTGGCGCACCCACGACCTGACTCGAGGGTGTTAGGCAGATGTTCTCTTGCGGCATGGTCACAGGCTTTTTGCAGCATAGAGGGAGGACACCAAGTCTAGAGCTAGTCACAAGAGGGTCTCGAGATGCTTTCGAAACTTGACAGCTGGGCGGCTTGGCGGCTTTGTCCTCTTCTAAGCTTCGCATTGTCCAGTGATTGTCCCATATCATCCGTCTCTGAGGTCCCAACAGCAGCTGAGCCGGAGCAATGTCGGGTGTGGGCAGCATCTCTGCCGAGGCGACGTGGCCCACGGATCCTGGTGACCGTAAACATCCTCTTTGAAACTCAGGGTCTTGAACTGAAGGCTGAAGACCACCACTTGCCCGTCAGGGCCTGGTTCAACGCCTGCCAGACCGTCTTCCTGCTCCACGAAAGAATCACCTCCGACAGGCAATATGACACGGCGCGGTCTGCGAAAGAACTCGGTGTCTGATACACAGCTCACCTACAACCCTACATCAACCTACCATTCGACTGAAATGGGAGGAGCCACGCCCCAGCGGCTTTGCGGTAAGTTGCGCTCTGTTGCTGGTTGCTTGAGGTGCGCCTTGGTGGCTTAGCCTCTATAAGCTTCGGGCACGCCTGCTCTGGCTGCTGACCTCGCCCATGCTATTTTGCATTGCTACAATACAACCGTACACCACACACCCACTCACGCCCTCCAAAGAATCGAAGTTCCAAACACCGAACGCAAGGGCCCACCGCGTCGTCGGACGCAGGCTCCAGTACACCCTGCTATCAGCAAGTCCTCCGAGGATTGTTTTTTTTTTCTTTCTTTCTTCTGGGGGCTCTCTAAAATTTCGGACCCATTGGATTTGTAGGGGGTCCTGAATGGCAAGCTCGACTTGCAAACCCTCCAAAAAATCTTATCCCTAAACTCAACTTCTTTGACGCCTACCTGCCATAAGCCCAAAGCTTTCTTTCAACCCCTCTGCCCTCCAATAGGGTTTTGGGCTTTGGGTTTGGGGGTTTAGGGTTAACCCTCCAGTGGGGTTCAGGGTTCGTCCTCATCTGGGCCGACGAGGTCAAGAGCCCTGCGAGGCAAGGGCATTATGTCTGGGGGTTTGTAGGGTTGTCGGTTTAGGGTTCAGGGCTAGCAGTTTTAGGCCAGGCTTCACGACTTCAATGCAGGTTGCTGCAGACCGAGACCTTACGAGCAGAGTCTCCCTGTAGCTTCGCGTAGGACTTCGTGGTTTGGGTGTTGTTCGCAGTGCAGAGGAGATGGGGTCGATTTCAGCGCAGTCTACTCGTGCCACTCGGCTTGTCGCAGCTCATAGAATCCCTGCTCGGAGCCCCTGCAGATTTCACACTTCACATTCGAAGCCCATGCAGGGGATCCATCGGGTCAGCTCAATCCAGTCGTGGTCCTTCCGGTTATGCCCTTCAGCCATCCACATCAGATTGCAGCAATCTGACAATCCGATTGAGGTCATGATGCTGCTCTTGCGAAGGAAGGCAACTCCGCTGCTACTAGGCTACCATCCGGCTACCATCTTGCTACCAAGTGCTTCTGACATGCCCCAGCATAATATTGAATCCCCCCTGAAGATGAAGAAATATCTATCTGCCGACGCCTCAACCCGTAGGAATTTTGGCAGTGTCTCAGGCACCACAATCCTTCTCTGAGGGACTCCTGGCCATTTCGCCATCCGGCATCCGCGACCCGTGTGCTAGCTCCAATTGCTCTGATGGCTTTACTCAGCGTGCGAGGCTTGCGAACTCCTTCAGACCGACTGCGCGCAGGGCTCCCAGGCTCGCGGCCCAGGCCGGGGTGGGTGCGCTAAAAAGACGGCCAGTACTTGTGGTTTGCCCGCGCTATTGCTTTAGAGACCCACAGCGACATGCGAAAACGTGGCCCCTGCCGAGGGTTGAGGACTCCGGAGGGCTTGACGGGACACGCAACTTCATGACACAAACTCCGGAGTTGGCGACGCGAGTGCGCGTCTACGCGATGTGTGCCCGCGCGCTAGGATGAATCCTAAACCGCTATGCTAAACCTTAAACATCCTTAAACCCTAAAACCTACAGCCACTATAAACCCTCAACCCCCTAAACCCTAAAATCCCTAAACCCTACAACCTACAACCCCTAAACCCTAAAACCTACAACCCCTAAACCCTAAACTCGAAAACCCCTAAACCCTCAACCCACCGGATCACAAAAACCCCATACCCTTTTCACAACCCTAAACTCTAAAAACTTCAACCCCTAATACCCTAAACCCTAAAACCTACAAGCCCTAAACCCTAAACCCGAAAACCCTAAACCCTAAACCCTCAACCCTCAACGCACGGGATCACGAGAACCAATGGGTGTGGGCTTCATGACCAAGTACGCACAACACGTCAAAGAAGACAAAGGCAAGTAGTACGCACCACACTGCCATCAGTCGGAATCACTGATGGCGATGACCAGAACTGACATGCGAGTCAAACCCCAGGGCCTTGCCACCGCCTTTGGAAGCCCCAGCTCTTCCGCGGATATGCGGCAGGCCCTGCAAGCCTGCGGCGTCTCTGATGTTTCTTCATGAGGACACCGACATGGCCTCCTCTTGATACATGCAAGGCATGGATTGCGCGGTATGGAAGATGTCCAAACCCTACAAGCCTGAAGAACAACCCTAAATATCCCTAAACAAACCCGACACCGTTCCCCGACTCCTCAACCCATTCTTGGCTCCCCCAAAGCCCTCAATCCTCTCACCCCCTAGCCTCCAAACCCTACCGCCCTACCACCCACCATCACCCACCCAACCCCCCACCCCCCCCCCCCTATATTCTCAGGCAACCCTTGGGTCCTGGTGTCTGCTCCGGAGCTTCTGGCGCGCCACCTCAGATGAGCCCAACATCCTAATCCGTGTGGTGTTGGCGCGCGGAGGCGCCCGATACAGCTTGGCACAGCGCCATGGCCTTCCATGTAAGAACTGAACCGAACTTCGAGCAACTTGCGAGGCGCTCCGCAATCCTACCCCAGCCCTACAAATCCTCAGGCCAACAGCAATTTATGGCCCCTAAATCCCGAAAGCACCGTACGACGCTAGTAGCAAACCTCAACTGCGCGAAAAGGGCCCTTGAAGAAACGCGGAAGGCAGCGACGGCAGCCTTAGATTCTGCTTTGGGAATCAGGGTGAGGTTTTCAGCACCTCTCGCTTGTTTGGGTATGTAGGAACTCGTGTTTGCCCTTTTGGCTTCGGGGTGAAGGATCAAAAAAAAAATAAATAAGCATCAAAAAAAAAATAACCCCAAGGGATCAAAAAAAAATAAATAAGCATCAACAAAAAAAATAACCCATTTTCCTCTTGGAATACAGCGGGAGAGGGGAGGGGGGGTTGGGGGGGGGGTTGGGGGGGGGGGGGGGGGTTGGGGGGGGGGGGGTTTGGGGGGGGGGGGTTGGGGGGGGAGGGGGGGTTGGGGGGGTGTTGGGGGGGGTTGGGGGGGGGGGGGTTGGGGGTTTTTGGGGGGGGGGGGGGGGGTTGGGGGGGGGGGGGGGGGGGGGTTGGGGGGGGGGGGGGGGGGTGGGGGGGGGTTTTTTTTGGTGGTACAGGGGGGGCGCAGCCCCCCCCCCCATTTGCAAACACAATGCTCGCACGATGGGTACTAGTGGGTGGTGGTGGTGGTTGGAAATTTGCAAACACAATGCTCGCACGATGGGTATAGTGGGTGGTGGTAGTGGTTGGAAAACCTTCTATTTTCTCGATCTTTTAATAGGAAAACCTCTATTTCTTCATATTCCCACAAGAAAACCTCTATTTTCTTCACGTTTTCATAGGAAACCTCTATCATCTCTATGTTTCCATCGGAAAACCTCTATTTGCATGTATTTTAAGAAAAACTTAAACTTTTAGTATCCCAATGGCTTCAACAAGATTCATAAAGCACGCTTTGCAGTGGCACAGCTTGATAAAAACGCGGCGGGGTTGGGGTTGGCGCAGCCCCCCCCCCACACACACCCCCCCACTTGGCTTTGCAGCACGCTTTGCACAGCTTTAAAAAAACAGCGGGGGGGTTGGGGGGGGGGCAGCCCCCCCCATTTGCAAACAATGTTCGCACGATGCGTAGAAGTGGTGGTAGTGGTTGGAAAACCTTCTAGTCTCTCGATCTTTCAATGGGAAAACCTCTATTTCTTCATACTCCCACAAGAAAACGTCTACTGTCTTCACGTTTTCATGAGAAATCCTCTATTATCTCTATGTTTCCATCGGAAAAACTCTACTTCTACATGTTTTAAGCAAAAAACTTCCGTTTTCTTTGCATTCCAATGGCTTCAAAGAACAATATATAATACATACTACAAAATATATTAAATATACTATATAATGAATAATAAATAATAAATTTAATTAAAAATAAATAATATTATATATTTTATATATTGTACCTTATGTATACAGTATACATTATATATTATATACTTTATATTGTGCAGTATATGCAGCATATAATATGCAATTTACAATACATGATATGCAGTATATGACATATAATATACAATATGCGATATAAATATAAATATAAATATATATTTATTTATTTATTTATGTTTATTTATTTATTCATATTTATATTTTATATTTATATACATACACATATCATATAATGTACGACAATATGAAAATATAAATATAAATATAATATATACATATTATATATGTATATATATAATACGTATAACGTGTATAAAATAAAATCTATATACCACAGGAATAATGTTTAATATAAATAATATAGTATAACAAGTAATATATATATATATAATTAATTCTATGTAATATATAATATAGAATATTTTAATATGTAATATGTAATATATACCTAAATCATATAAATCTAAATATAATATTAATATATAATATTATAAGTATATAATATATTAATATATAATATTATAATATAGTAATAAATAATAAATATATATATATACAAAATACATAGTAAATTCGACATAATAAATAATGATACTAATAAATAATACATAACACATAATACATAATACAGAATACATAATATAAAACATATAATATATAAATTCATACATAGTACATAAGACATAAAACATAATATAGAATTCATAATACATAATAATACATAATACATAATACAGAATACGTAATACATAATACATAATACATAATATATAATATATAATATATATATATAATGTATAGTATATAATAGGTAATGTGTAATGTAATGTGTATTATGTAATATGTATATATATATATACATGCACATACATACATACATACATACATACATACATACATACATACATACATATATATACACACACGTTGACCTTCACTATCGTGTGTATATAATATATATATATTTATATTTATTGATTTTTACTTATTTGTCTAATTTAATTATTTATTTATACGCATAGGACCCGCAGGACCAGGCACACAGACAAGCAGACCAGAGGACCAGAGGACCAGGGGACCACAAGACCAGGGGACCACGGGACCAGAGGACCACGGGACCAGAGGACCACGGGACCAGAGGACCACGGGACCAGAGGACCACGGGACCAGAGGACCACCGGACCAGAGGACCACGGGACCAGAGGACCACGGGACCAGAGGACCACGCAGGTGGGCCGGATGGCTTATTTTTTTTTTGATGCCTATTATTTTTTTTATTGATCCCTATTATTTTTCTTTTTGATGCTTATTATTTTTTTTTTGATGCCTATGCCGCTTAAGTACCTGGCCTTGGAATTCGGGATTAAGGCTTCTGGACGGGCTACCATGAACCTTGAGCTTCACACTGAGAATACGAAGCACCATTTCAAAACGTCGAACCACGCCTAAAACACCTCAAGCCCTAAAGCCCTGAGCCCTAAACCCTAGCTGCTGACCAGCCCGGGCGCTGCCGCACAGGCCTCACAGAGCCGAACACTTTCGCTGCTTTCGCTGCCTGCTCCCGGCTGCGGAGGAGGCCTGCTTCTGCTAAGTTTCGGGCATTTGGGGGGTGTCGTTCGGGCCTGATCGGGTACAACTGTACGGCCAAGAGGGTTTAGGGTTTGCAGTGCTTTTGCCGTTCAAGTTTAGGGTTTTGGGTAATGCATCTCGACTCACCTTACTGAGTCACAGGCGGTCCATGGCCGTACGGAGGCAGCGCCAACCTCTCGAAACGAAGAGACCACAAAAACACATGCCGTCACATGCCTCTAAAGAGAAAACAAAATGAAGTAACTCTCGCGTCCCTCTCAGCTTCAGTGACGACACGCCTGAGTCTTGGGACCGTCCGAAAGCCATGAGACGCAGACAGCATGGCACTACGGGCGTTAAGTGGGTTCATGGCTTTGGGGAGTGGGGGGGGGGGAGTGTTGTAAGGCTGGGTTCGAGAAGTACTTGAGGCTGGGGGTTCAGGGTTTTGGGGCTTTGGGGCTTCTAGGGTTCGGAGCTTGGAAGCTTCAGGGCTTCGGGGCTGAGAGGTGGGTTAAGGCCTTGCTGGCGGCGTTTTTTTCTGGAGCCTTGGGCTGGAGCGTGTAGCAAGCTGAGCTGGAAGAAGCGACAATCAGACCGGAGGTTTCAGCAGGCAAGCCTCGTCTAAGGTCAGATTCTGCCCCACAATGCAACAGCACACGTAGACTATAGGCAGGCGAACCCGTGCTCATGAATGGCTCTTAGTCTCCTAAACCCCAAATCCCGCACACTAAGCCCCCCCCCAAAAAAAGCACCCCCAAGAAGGTGTCCCACAAGTGCTCTAGGAGTCGATGCGGAGCACAGCCCACAAAGAGGGCCAGCACCTCGCGAGCGGATGGCTTGAGGAGTTTAGGGGGGGGCTCAGGGATGTTTAGGGGGTTTAGGGCTTTGGGGAGGGGGGGGGGCTTGATGATTCGGTGCCCCATCGTCCAAACCAGCCAAGCACCTCGCACACAGCCAAACGAAGGCTGCACGCCCATCTTTCTGGCAGGCTCCCTCGAAAAGCTGAGGCTCCAGCCCAGCTGTCGAGCAGGGAACCCAAACAGCTCGAGCAGGCCTGCCCAAACAGTTGGAGGCTCGCAATCTAAAGCGCGTGGATTCTTGCCCACATCCCTGCAGGCACCTCTTCCCCCAGAGCATCATAGATGGTGGGGCAGTAGACCTCCCCAGGGCTCACACGATCCAAAAGTAACATCCACTTCATCAGCCCTCCTAACCAGAAGCCCCTGCACCATTGTTTTCTGAACCCCAAATTATACTGTGCAAACCCGGTTCTGGCAGGTGGCTCAAGGCGGCTCAGCTTTTTGGTGGGCGCGGGGCGTTGGCTTTGAGCTATTACTGTAGGCGTTTCAGAGCTGTAGGACTTTCGTGTGAAAGCTTAGGGTCGCGGGAGATAAGCCCGACACCCAGAACCCAAATCCATTCAAACACCGATGTCCGGGGCCACCTTAGCCTTCGCCAAGATGAAGGACCTGCTGTAGGGCTTGGGCTGTAGATGCTGAAGGCTTGCAGAAGGCTTGCGGAAGGCTTAAGCAAGGTTTGGCTGTTGGAATGCCTGTGGCTGTCAGCCTGGTCTCATAAGGGGGCAGCTGGCGCAAAAAGGTGCAAGAAGCCAGGCACCTCATCCCAAGGCCGCCAATGTGCACCATCTTCAGATTGCCTCGGACCTGGTCTATGAGTCTATGGCTCGGAGGCTTCTGGACGGAGCCTGCACATCGAGCCGACGTCACATGCAGCTTTTGCGTCGCTTTAGCCGCCGGAAAAATGTCTAAACCCCAAGCCCTAACAACCCCCAGCTTCCTTGCCCATGCCCAAAAAACCAGGCTTCAGGACTGAAGAGTGTTCCAAATGGGGTGCACGGTTCTGAGCTCCAGGCATCGGCGCCGAAAAAGTCGGGGTCCAGTACATCCTTGCACTTTGCAAGCAAACCCAGGCATATACGTAGCTCTATACATAGGTATATGGACCTATACACGCACACGACCCCAGCTTCCATCAGTATCCCGCACCCTGAACATTCTTCTGAACATCGAGCCCATCTCTTGCTGCCAGTTCCTCCCCATTCTCCCCCTTCGTACAGGCCAGAACTAGCAGCCGACAGTAAGTCAAAGCTCCCTCAGCCCCCTCCAAGACCCCCAATGCACTGAACCCCTCCAACAAACACCCATGTCACGGACTCTGACTAAAAGCACTGCGAGGAGAGCCTCCTGGAGATAGCCTCCACTTGAAATTTTGAACCCTGAAGTGAACCCTAAACTTCCTAAGCCCTTTCACCCGTCCTCCAGAAGATGCGACAGCAGCCAGAAGGTGTCCTCTTCGAGACGAGCCTCGCTTAGAGTGCAACTGCAGTCGGGGCATGTCCAGCTTGCCGCATGGACCTTGGGTCTCTGGGTTTGGCCGGAACCATTAATAGCCCGACAGACCCAACCCCTCGCCCGCCCCAACCATCACGCCTCCAAAGTCCCCTGAAACCAAGATCTACATCCTACCCTCACTCAACCTCCTATCAAAATCTGGCAGCCCTAAACCCCTAAACCCCTAAACCCCTAAGCCCCTAATCCTCTCTAAGACCCCCAAACCCCTAAGATCCCTAAGACCACGAAGACCTTCCAGGGTCCCCAGGCCCGCTCCGACGGCTGCGCCATGGCCCCAGTGCCCGCCGCCAAGGCCAGGAGCCCCATGCCAGCCAGGAAGTTCAGGCCTCTGCCCAAGGGTCTTTCAGGCTGCGAGGGCTCTTAAGGGCTTAGGGCCTGGGGCTTAGTGCTTTGGGCTTTAAGGCTTCGGGCTTTAAGGCCTAGGGTCTAGGGCCTAGGGCTCAGGGCCTAGGGCTTGGGGCTTAGGGCTTAGGTTGTCGGCTTCTAAGGGCTTAGGTTGTAGGGTTTAGGAATGCTTCGGGCTTATGCGCTTCTGGTTCGGGGTCTTCACGTCCAAAGTTGCGAAGAGCCCCGCACAGCCACTCTTTAGCTGCCGGGACCCTGATCCCTTCAACATCCCTATGAATCCTCTGAACCCTCCAAACCTCAACTTTGCTCGCTTTCACCAGCCTCACGCACTTTTACACCCGTTTCCTATCACAAGCCCCCCCTAGTACCCCGAAAATCCCCGAAGTCCCCCAAACACTGGACAAGCCTTGCGGATAGCCTGTGAGGATTCCCCTGCGCAGGGGCTCTTAGCTGGCAGGGCCTTTCGGGTTGGTCTAGGGTCTTTGGGAAACCCATGAAGGTCTTCGCCGGAGCGACCAGCCTGCGCAGCTACTCTGCTAACATTCTCTCTCCAAACCAAAATAGGTACTGACTCCACACTACCGGTCGGATTGTATCGAAACCTAAGCAGATGTCATCTTGTTACAACAGTGTGGTGATTCCACCAAAATCTCAGTCGTTCAATCCCAATGCCCCAGGTCCTGAAGCCGAGGCACTTAAGCTTAACCTTCAGCATGCCTTCTATACGTATACATATACACATACATAGACCCATACATATACATATGCAGCATATGCACAAACATATATCCATGTACAGATACAGATACATACCATATATATATATATATGTGACCAGAACGCGGCAGAATACACCAGGGCGCCATGAGCCCAATGACCCAAAACCCGACAGCCCGGTTAACAGGGTTCAAAGGGTGCCCCCAGTTGCATGCCGGGCAATTCTACTTTCCCCAACTAAATCAAAGGGCCTTTTGTCGGTCATATGCAGGTCCTCCATGGCTTCAAGTCTCCAGACTCCTATTCTGAGACCAGAGAGCTTTCGGAAACCTGTGCCCCCAGCAAGCTCTTGGTGGGAGGTTTCGGCAGAGGGCCGAGGCTCTGATCAGCACACGAAGCTACCGGTGTCCATGAAGCCGCAAGCTCTTCGAGTGCGGGCCCTCTGAACACCATTGTCTGAGCTTTAAGCTCTGCGGGATCTCGCCAAAAACGCCGACAGAAGCTAGGTCCGAGTCAGCCCAGGATGCCTCTAAACCCTAAACTCTTTCGGTGAATTCCAGCTTCTGGAGACAGGCTTGAGAGCCAGCCAGTCATGCAACAAAGAAATTCGGCAACGCTCCCGGCAGATATTTCTCTGATGGACTCCAGACTCGAAGAACGACCCACCCTAGTATGGTGGCTAGTTTTTCAATGCCTCTTCTCATATCATTGCTACGGTTGTTGCTACTATTGCCAGTGGTAAAAAGATGTATGATTCTCAGACAGATTGAGCAGTAGAGCTTTCGGCAAGGAAGGATTACAGTAAAGAACAGAAGGTCCCACATTGTCCTTCTCTTGCTGCTGTTTATGCCAATGCTGCAGGTTGGGCTACGTCCTGAGCACTTGAATCGCCAATGAAAGAAAGAAAGCTGTAGGACTGTTGCTTTCATTGCTCCGTGTGTTTTTAGCTGCGTGATAGCGACTACGATATGAGAATTGCGAAGTTCGTACAGCCTAAACCCCCCAAAGCCTTCTTTAGTCGCCATGCCCTCTGGCTCTTTCCTGATGACATGAAGGCTTCCGTTTCGCAAGCTGCTCCTCGCATGCCCTGAAGGCCCTGCAACGAAATTTTGGTTGGCCGGGAGTGGTTGCAAGCTGTCCTTGCAGAAGGCATGTCTGAGCGAGGGAGGTTGGAGGAACAGAAGCACCAGATCGATCAAGACGCGAGATCGGTTCAGAACCCCCCAAGGCCCAGAAGCCAGGCACAAGCAATCCACCTCCCTTGTAGAAGATGGGCTTTTAAAGCCGTCCAGCAACTTGGTAGCTGGAAGAAAATGTGTGGAGCTCGACTTCAGCCAACTGTGGGCCTGGATGTTCCCATTGAACTGAGCTCTCGACCCCAAATTTGCCTGACGCGCCTTCCTGAGACCCCAACCCAAACAATTGAACCCTACAGCGCGCAGACCATGTGCTCTCTCCCCAATTTCCCAAATTAAATGCCAGGCCAAGCTTCGAACTGCTTTCTTGCTAGGGGTTGGTGGGTGTAGGTGCAGGGACAAGGCCCCCGTCAGGGAGTCGAGCTCGCCTCCTGGCACAACAGCTCCCTCACAGCCTTGCCAGCAGCTTGTTCGACAGCTCGGCTTCACATTCTTTACTTGGATTCCCGTGATTCTAGTGGCTTTGATTGGATGCAACGTAGAATTTGTACTCTGACCAGATGAGACCTGACAGGAAGCGTTTGTGATCCTAAGCCTGCAGGATTTGACATCACAGCATGAGATGCATCTTTGCACGAATGTCCGAGGTCTCTGTTTCTCTTGCAGCGAAGTTTTGCCACCACCAGCTTGTTTCACGGCGGCCCAGACTTTGGCACCCAAGGAGCCCAGCCTCCGGACGCTGAAGCTCATACGCAGAGCGATCGAACTCGTAGTTGGCCCACTCAAGGGAGGGGTCCTGGCACAGCCCGCTAAAACGACATAATGTTGTACACGTGGTCACCAGGACACTTCCCTGCTTGAGGCACAGCCGCAATTTCGGAGGCAGGGTGTTCCATGACATGAGAGCTCGACTATGTGAAGCGTTCGGCAGTTGCATGCACAGAGGGCAAACAAGCACACGCCGACACACCGACACACACTGATGCAAACGCGGGTTCTCAGAGTAAACATTGGCTGTGGCATGCAACCTATCTGGATACATGGCAGAGAGGAACTAGATAAACCAGCTGAACAAAGAAGAGGGGAGGCTGCCGGAAAGGGTGCGCAATGATGTGTGTTTGGAAGCATTCTTCGCACAAGCTTGCAGTTGCCTTAAGCCCTAACCAATGCGTGTATTACTGCCAATGCTGATCGGTCAACAGCCAACAGTGGTCCCCCGCAAGTTTTGCTTCGGCTGAGGCAGATTTTCTGCCACCGGAAGGTGCATTATCGGAGACATGGGCCCGGAGGCGAGAATCGCAGCAGCTTCAAGCCAGCCGCTGCTCTTGACATCCTGGTGCCATACTAAGTGACGTACACAGCAGCTAAATGCACCTTGCTCATCACTTCTTGTCAAGCTTGGCAGTCAGCAAGACAGCAGCAGCTCTGAAGCGTAGCAAACGCTCGGGACGTTGGCAGTCACCTGCACTCCCCGAACTTGGAAAAAGGGCACGAACTCTTCGCGGAAGAAGCGCTCCGCCTCTTTCCTGGATGCCGCCATGGAGTTGCCTTCAGGCATTCGGCACAGTAGCAGGAAGGACAGGGCAGATGTTCCGGAGACCACGCAGCTGCGGGGTCTCTTCATGGTAAGTCCAGCACAAAGAAGGGCGAAAGCTGCCGTGGAGGCAAGTTTTCTCAGCAAGCTGGGCTCGGATCCCTGCAGTTTCCCGTTCAGCTTCTGCACCAAGCTTCGGAACTCATCTTCCTGTATGCGGTACTGCAAAATTGTGGGCATCTCGATGGGAAACTGGAGGGAGAACAATCCCACTTCTTCTGTCCGCTCCACACGGACGGACCGTGACTGGGATGTCGACAGCCTCGAAAGGTTGGAGAGGCTGGAGCGGCTGGAGTCTCCCCTCTGAAGCGGCGCCTCCGCCCTCTCAGGCCTCTCAGTTTTCTCCTGCTTGAGCTCTGGGTGCGCTGCCAGGAAGCTCTGAACCTCACGCCGCTTGTCCCAGTTGGGGATGAGGGTGGCGTTCTGCAATAGTACATTCGTCAGCGGATCGCAAAGGTTCTCCTGCTGATCCCAGTAGGCTTCAATGGCTGCGCGCTCGTAAGTGTTGCCTGACATGGCCACCACCGGATCTTCATACAGGGAGTGTGTAATTGGACAGCAGAGGTGTGGAGGTTCTGCTACCCGCCTCTCCAGGCCATCGCCAGCCATCAGCCACCAACTCCAAAAAAAGGCCCAAACAAAAGGGAACAGGAAACCAAGCTAAAGCCAAGCTTTGATCCATGCCTTGCTGAACACCATGCCACTCCTAAGAACCCTCCTCGAGTCGAGCCTGCGTCGTTCGGGTCTTGCGGGCCAGGACACGAGAGAGAGAGAGAGAGAACAAAAAAAAACATAAATAATAATAATAATAATAATGGTAATAATAACAGGTGTTTCTTTGGGGGTTGAGGGTCTGTGGTAGGGTCTTTGCGGTTTAAGTCAGGACCCACTAAGCCCTAAACCAACTGCCCGAGGCGTCAAACTGCCGCTGAGCCGTATCCGATTGGCCTCGGAGCCTAAACAGACCCATAAACATCCCTGAAACGACCCTGTCAAAGCCCACTAAGACCCCCGTCAACCTCGGCGCCTGCCGTAAAAGTCCAAAGAGCAGAATTCGTGCTCAGCAGAATGTGCCCGGCAGCCTTCATCACAGTGGAAGCCTGGTCTGTGCAGATATCGCTTGGAGTCTTTCGAATTTCGGGTTTTTAGGCGCTTGAACGTTTAGGGTTAGATTGGGGGTTCAGTTTCAGGGTTGGTTGGGTTTGGAGGCATACATTAGGGGGTTTCGATCCTCCCTCAGAAACCAGGCATTGACGGCCCGCTTCCCTGAAACTCCAAACCCAGGAAGTGCCACCCTTTTCTCACCGTGATTAACGCCCCAAACCCAGCAATGCCAGCTACAAGCCCCCCTAAACCCTGAACCCCTATGAACCCTATGAACCCTATGAACCCTATGAACCCTATGAACCCTGAATCCAAAACCCCGAGTTCGCGCGAAGCTGCCGCGGGCTCCCGCCTCGGGCAGCGCTCTCCAGGGATGCTCGTCAAAGTTCCGGAGGTCGGTCGGGCCTTTTGGGTTCTTTCAAGAAGGGTTTAGTGGGCTTAGTGGGCCGGGGCTTAGAGCTGTGGCAGCTCCAGGCCTTACAGCGCGTGGGCCTGGATAGAATGCTCGGGTGCAGAGATTCAAGCAGAGGCTTCCTGGCAAACCGGCCACCCCGCGAATTTGGGGCTTAAAGGCTTCAGCCCGAAAACTCGGTAGCAGAGGTGCCGTGCCCTCCTGCCCCTGATTTGATAACATAAACAAGAGGGATGGGGAGGTGGAGCTGGCCTGACAGCTCCGGCTTGAAAGGCGGGTCCATCAGATGAAGCTGCCTTCGGGCGGGTTCAGGCTGTTCAGGCTGAGGGCTTCAACTTGCAGGGCTTTTGGGGGGAGGCGGGGAGGGGGAGGGGGGTTTAGTGACGGTCTTTTGTGCAAGTTTTCTGCAGCACCCAGAAAAAGATCCGCCCCAGATCCGAATTCTGGTGCTGTCGGAAACACGAACCGTGCAAAACTACCACAATCTGGCTGCAGTAGCTGTGTACAGTATCAAGTGGATGAAACCGATCATCACCTTGCAGGACACAAACGTCTTGAACTAACCTCAGCATCCTGCTCTTGAGTTGACCTTGTGACCCCCATGAAGAATCCTAAAACAAACCGAGAATGGGAGACCAAACTTCGGAAGTCGAAGCCCTAAACTCTGAACCCCTGCAACCCCTAGCCCTGAGACACTGAGACATGGGGGCCAGGCTCAAAGTCGAGGCCGCTGAAGAAGGCGTGATTCTTGCAGGCCCTGGCATACCACAGGTGAGAGTCTAGGATAACCGACAGCACCTCGCTCGCTCCAGGGAGTCCCCTGAGCCTCTGAAACCTCAAAGTGGAAACACACTGCAAACATCTGCAAAACCATGCCAGGCCCCACGCGATGCTGAGGCGATCGGCCCTTGGAGCGGGGATTCAGCGGGCGACTTCTGCCGTCAAACGGAGTCTAAACAGAAAGCGCGTCGCTTTGCAGGATCCTGGCGGGTCACAGATCACGCCATTGAGGAAGGACTCGGCATCCGATGTGATGACCTCTGCGCGCCGTGAGGTTGGTGGCACACCATGTGTCTAGCAGACATCTGACATTCAGGCTTAGTTTCATGAACCTACCAAACAGGAAACCCAAACCCTGCGCGAAACGCCAGAATCCTCTGGGCTCCGAGCACCTGCCTTCTTGGCTTTTGCCAGGCGCCTAGGAAAGGAATGGGAACACAATGCAGAAACCAGCGGTCATCAAGGAGTGCACAAAGCCTGGAGCCTCGCCTGGTCGCACTTTCCAAAACAAGGCACTTGCAATGGGCAAGGGACGTTGCACGATGCCTACTTGTAGCTCATGCAGCCTTTCTGAAAGGCATCAGGGCGAGTCGTCTCAAGTCCTTGAATATCTGTGAAACCCGAAACAAGCATCCCCGGCTTCTTGAGGACCCAGCGTTGGAAAGACCTTCTTGTGATGGAGGACCTGGGGCAGTACTTCGGCTCAAAGGCTAGGAGATGGTAGGGGTCCAAGGATGGAAGCATTGTGGGAGGTGGTGACCTGAAAGCTGTTGGATCCTGGAGGTTTGCTTACGGAGCACAGAGCTCAGGATGATTGACGGGCTGTTTGAATCTTTTTGACATGTCAGACATGGCCAAGCCATGCTTTGCTACGTGAATCTGTTTTGTGTAGATTGCTACAACTGTGAACCTGGTCCGAAATTTTAGCTCGTGATGGAGACCTTAGCAATTGTTCCAAGCCCAGGGTCAGCAAACAGGCGTCAACATTTTGCCCTTTGCCAGCACTTGGACTTGCGCAAACTTTTGTGGGCACCGACTCTTACAATCGACAGTGGCACGGACAGCCACAAAATCCAACGACTGTGGCTCCAAATCCACCCTTACCTGAACCCACATCTCAACCCCTGAGCCCTAAGCCCTACTTAACGGCCTCAACCTTGAAGCAAGCCCGTCAACACCCTTTCTCCAGGGCTCTCGGGCCATCTGCCGCAAAACCTGGCGTCGCTTTGCCTGTCTGGGTAAGGGCTTGGGGCTTGAGAACATAGGGTCTAGGGCCGCAGCTAGTTCAGAGTTTGGAAGCATGGCTGGCATGGCAGCTGCCGGTGTTCCTCAGTCTTTGCATTGCGCCCCTAAACGAAAAAGACGCGGCTAAACGCGGAGCTGCAATTCCCTGCTGTCCTAAGCTTCGGGTTCAGGGTTCAAATTCGGGGCGGTGATCACGTACGAGGATCAGAAATTAGAATCACGACCCCTTTCAAATTTGAAGTTGCTGTGGTGTTGCCGGGAGTGTACAGGTTTTGGGTTCTCAGAACAAGTTGAAAACATTTGAAAACACTGGTAGATGCTCTGAAAGGAAGGCCCCAGACCTCGTCCTCCTCGTCGTGAGCATGAAATGGAGGAGACCCATAAAGACACCTGAGAGCCACCGCGCGAGGAAAGGGCTTGGGCCGTTTGGCACGGACTTGATGTGGGCCGTTTGGGCTTACGGAAAAAGATTCAGTAGATGTTAGTTGCGCAAAGCCGTGTGTGGCCGCGAACGTGTCTGTCCATGGCTGCTCCGCATAAAGCTGCAAAAAATTGAGGTTTGGGGCCTTGCACAAGGAAAGCCTCGACGCTGACTAACCAGTCACAGCTACAAGGAGGGTCGGTGCAGCTGCATGGAAAACTTGAGCGATGGACCCCGCAAGTCCGAAACCCTAAGCCACAAAGCTGTCCCTCTCCGTATCTAGACACAAAACTCCAGAGAGTTAGATGCGACAGCCGACTCAGAAGCTGAGACAAGTCTGAGGTTCCGTCTCAAAGGTCATGACCTTCTCAAAAGCATTTCGACGCGACCAGCACGATAGGATTGCTTAGGGGTGGGCGGGTTCGGGGGTTGCGGTGGAAAGTTTGCAGGCTCCGACAGCGATCTGGCAAGTACAAAGCCGAAGTTGGGCATTCTGTTTCGGAACTTGATGCGCAGGCAGTTTCAAACCCTATGCAGAGTACAAAATCGGCACACCTGTCAAGGGATCAAAAAATCCGAAACCCCGCAAACCCTGAACTTTCAGGACCCCTTTACTTTGCACTGCGATTCCCGTGAATGGCTCAAAGCTGAGAGCGGGACCCCCACGGCCCAGATGTCACAAGCGGGGCTCACCTACTCTTGAAAAAAGGGGGGGGGTTCATAGCTTGCTGGGATGGGCTTCAGAGGGCTTGGGTTCTTTTTTTGCGGTCTTGTGGCCTTTTAAGCATTTTTGATCGTAAACCCCACCCCTCACAAAAGGGTTCTTCGGTCTTAGGTTGGGGCAGGCACTTCGCCGCACGTTACGTTGAGGGAATGTACTTCGGGGATCTCTTTTTTCTCTTTGTCTGGGCCTCAAGACCACCTCATCCCGGCCTCCCCTCGCATGACCTCTGGGGCCATGTAATACACGGTGCCCACCTGGCAGATCATGGCTTCTCAGATGCGCGTTTAGACTCCTCGGATTCCGCTTTTCGGAGCCTTACAGCGGGTTGAGGGAGGCTGTGGGGGGAGTCCAGGCGAGCCCACGCACCTGGGTGGCAATCTGCTGCCGCTTCGGGCTGGGACCACCTGACAGGCACCGGGCTAAGCATCGCGCAGGTGCAGCCGGTGCCTCTGAGCAGCTCGTTATACCCACAAGACCGCCCAAAACCCGCTATCCCTCAGTCCAAAAGCCTCAAGACAGGAAGGCTGCAAACTGGCACGCCTTGCTTCAGGCTCGACTTCAGTTTGGACGGCCCCTTCAGGGTCGTGTCCTCCTTGGCTACGGCCTTGTCTTCCTCAGGATCTTCATGCTGGTTCACCAGGGAAACTCGGAGCTTCGGGCGCTCCGTAGAGGGACCATGTAATAGGCTACCTGATTTGCCAAATTTTGCAGGTCTCACACTGTCGGCCTAAGACGTCTCTTTACGGAGCGAGTGCTATTTTCGAGGTAGTGTACCTCAAGCCCGGGAGCCCTCTTGAATCAAGACCGAAACCCCGAAACCCCGAAACCCC